GTGTGGGGGGGGGGGGGTGCATCTTGCTGCCATGGTATGATTACAGCTAATGGAAGGGATTGTGGGTGTGGCTAAAGCCCCCTGTGTTTCTGTGCCGAACCTGATGGGAACATCATCTGGTAACGTATAGTTCTGTGTGTCTATTTTGCATTTTATGTCTCCTCGGTAGGTTTGCAGAGAATCACCTTGGTTCTTGTTTGATGCAGCTTACGGCTTGCACTGGATTGTGGGATTTTTACAGTCAGTGGGGCCCACCTGTCATTTTTTTTTACTTTGAATTGGAATGTGTGGAATTCAGTATTTGCACAGAGCCCGTTGTCTGCTCTGACCTGGAACAAATATGAATCACAGATTTGTCATCTGTTTATATCCAGCAAACGTCTGAATCGGAGATGGACACAGACTTAAATGATGACCCGGCTGGCGCACACGCTTATGTTCTCCGATCTGGGACCCGCATCAATCCGCTCCGGCTTGTTTTATATGTATATATGTTTGATAGACTGTGTACTGCAACATGTATGAGAGCGGCAGCCACGGCGGCTTCCTATCTGTCAGGGTTTGTTTATGTTTTGGTAAAGATTATGCTGTGGAATATCCCCGGTGACAGCAAGCTGGTGCTGAAATCATAAGATTTCTCTGCTGCTTTACAGCCCGTGCTTCCATGCCGGATGAAGATTTGCCATTAGGAAGTGTCAGAATTTCATATTCATTTTGTCCCAGCCCTCGGTGTTCTAATTCTTCATATGTTGTGAACTTAGTACGTAGCCCCATTAGGCTTTGTTTCTGGTGGTGAAGACTCCTAAAAAGTTTGAAGTGAAGCTGAAGACCCCGAACTCAGTAGCTTCGCTGCATTCTTCCAACCCTTAAAAGTCGAGTGCCCATCAATTCCATCACAGCACAGATTATGGCAGGGGTAGGCAACCCCGGCATGCTGGTGGCTGTCAGCGTCCTGCAATGCCTTTTATGGGACTTGTAGTTCCACCAAAGCTGTAGTGCTGAGGTTGCCTACCCCTGGATTATGGTGTATTGATAAGGTGGGTCATCCTGAGTGAATATTAGGGATGCACCGATACTTTTCCAGATACCAGCAGATACTTGGCATTTTCATGGGAACTACCAGGGTTGCAGCAGGGACCTGGCTCTGGCGCTCCACCTCTGTCCTGAAATCATTAGTCTGTATTGTTTCAGAAAAACTGTAAACAAAAATGTATCAGTACTTCTAGCTGCAAAACTTGTATGGGTGCATCTATCTATTTATTTATGTATATTTATGTATATATATGTATTTATTAAAACAGAGATGTACAAATCCCGGGAGCTCGTGTGCTCCTTACAGATGACAGCGGCCTCTTAACTTATTAATTTTCCTCTAGTCTCTTGGAGCTGGAAAAGTATCTGTACTTGTACTGTACTTGGTATCGGTGCATCCCTAGTGATTGTAGTTTTTGTAAAGTTAGTTTTTAGTAATCAGTAAGGTGTGATTGTACTTTAGTTTTATCCCTTTCCTGCAAAATTGACACTCGGTTTGACTTTACTGAGTTATACCAACTCTCTATAATGTGCGTTTCCTGCAGAATATCATTGTAACATTTATTTAAAGTGTATCCAAAGTGAAACTTTTATTTGATGGTGTTGCAAAGAGTAGAGAAGGGAATCTCCTTACAGGTTTCATTGCTGTGTGTGTCCTTGTTGGGGAGAATTACCCTCCCAGTGACTGTTGGGTATTTGTTCCTGTCTGTGCCTCCCGTTAGGGTCACCATACATCAGGGCTGGACAAATCTCAGGAGGCAGGTCGCCAGGTCGCTCCTTAAAAAGTCCATCTGGTGCCTAACTTTTGAGGTTTCCTCTAGTTGTTGTCTATGGAGCTGACTTCTAAAATAAAAACCTGCTGGCTTCTGGATTGGACAGACTGGCTCCTGAGCTCCATATTAAGTTGTTCACCTCTGCCGTACATGTCACAATCTTTGTA